TTTACTCACCTTCCATTCTTTGAAGTTTCATACGTAGCTCTTCTAGTTCTTCTTCAGGATCAAAGGTAGAAGATCCAGGGAGAGGAAACATGCCTAAAAACAAAGTTATACAGAGAGATATTAGCATTTCTACTGATAAATAGTTAGAAACAAACATACCAAATTGCAGTTAAAGATAGATTTAAAAAAGCTGTTGAAAACATTGATTTCATTTACACATATATATCCCATGTATATCATTTTAATTCCACAAACCAACTCAAATTCCCTTTAACATAAGTAGAGACTAAGGCACAATCATATTTGGAATAATTTGCATTATTTACAACAATATTAGTATTCAAGGTGTTACTTTTATTTGAGAGCTAAAAACACAGCACACCAACATGTGTCCAACTGTATAAAGTGCATGAAATTTATCTACCGGTAAAATACAAAATTTAGGAAAAACTAAATTGGGTTTTAATTTCTTTGAGGTTAATCTTTTTAATTGAATACTAAAATTATTTCAAATAATTGTCAGTTTAGTTTTACCCTAAAGACCCTTGCATTACAATGTTTAATCCCAAAAGCACACTTCTTTACACTTGACATAATAGCTGAACACACTGAACATATTCACTTAAAGAAATTAATTCAAACTGAGCTTTCTGTTCACCTTTCCTTCCCTGCCCTTTCTCTATCAGTTCTTTTACATGACCAGTGGTGGGTTTTACTGTGAGCGGCGAAGTACCTAAGAGCAAAGAGTACAGGGAGAGATTATAAGCATTCACAGCTTCTCATCAGATACGCTGTATGTTGTTTCCCATAAGTTGTACTCTTTAAAAGAATACTAAAAATAAATTGTTATTACTGTTCACAACAACTTTCCATAATAACTTAATGCATCTTTTAATCAACAAATAGAGAAGCCTTGACTGTGCTCTGTTCTGTTGTAAAGCACGCAGGAAGCCGTTCAAGCACAAAAGAAGTGTAGGGAAAAATAAGAGAAAACACGAGATGTAGTCAAGTATTTCTCCCCACTTCTTGAGTGCTCTAACTGCTTCCTAAGTGCTTTACAACAGAAAAGAGCACAGACAAGGCTTCTTTATTTGTTTTATAATAAAGAATCCATTAAATTCCCCACGCATTATTTTCAATTTTCAAAATAAATTTTAATTCCAAAGTGAACAACAGTCTCGTGAGCATGCTCTATACTCTCACAAAGCACGCTACAATAAGCCAATCAGAATCATTGTTATAATAGTTCAAATAATTTGATTGGCTGTACAAGACTAAAGCTGTCAAAAATGTCAAAAACCATCAAAGTTCACATTCTGCAATTTTTTACAAACTTAAATAGTATGGCAGGTCAAATCTGACACTTAACAATTGGTTCATATGTCAGTGTGCATTCATTGAGATATGAAGTACGCGGGAAGTTTGGAGAGCATGAAAGATGTGTAAGAGTCGCTTGAGGCGCAGCTGAGAGCAACTCTAGCTTCTTGAGTGCTCTCCAAACTTCCCAAGTGCTTCATATCTCGATGAATGCACAGCTGACATATGAACCAATTGTTTTATTACATTTTCAACCCAAAGGAAAAGTTTTTTCTTGAGGGATTTGTTTGCTGACGTCATGAGTGTGCACAATAGGAATGTGAAGCACGCTCACACAATTGAATTTGATTAGACAAATTTACTAGCTATGTTATAATTTTGCCTGAAGTTTTTCTAGTCTCTAATACAGAATGCAGAGGTGAAATGTTCAGTGAAATCCAGTTGAATTGTGGCTCACAAAAATAAGCAAGCTTTTTCACATGACATAGTAAACAAACTGCTCAAGGCGAGTTTTACAAAAGAACGACAGTCAAATTCACTGGAACAAGAAGATTGCTAGGGATGACAGAGCCATAAAACTTGGTTGCAGTAACTGATGTGGCCTTCACCACTCAACGCATCAGAGAGGACATCAGAGCAAGCTCTTGGTTGTTCACTCAAAGGGCGGTTGATGTAATTTCTGAGGCTTGCTTCACTGGCAATCTCCGAGCTAACCTTGTTTGGTTGTTCTGTTGCTACTTGCCAGCTCACTTGTTTCAAAATTTCATTTTCAATTAATGAAAAAAAGCTAGAGAACAACTAACCCTAAGTCCCAGAAAAGGTCCAATTTGGCAGATGACATGACAGCTTTAGCTCAGTTCTATGCTCTATATTCTCATAGAGCACGCTCTTTCAACCAATGAAAACATGCATTAAATCCGAACTTTATTATAATTTTGTTTTCACCTTTCAGTTTCTCTGTCTCAACAATCTTTGTCTTCTGTTCCCATTTTTTCAGCTCTTCTTGTTTATGTGGACTTTCACTGGTTGAACTTATGGAGTGGAATTCAGAAGATGAAGCACCTAAAATCAGATTTAAAAGAAAACAAATAATGAGGCAATCATTGAATACTAACATTTAAAACAATGAAAGACACCTCCAATTGTTTTTGTAAAAATCCCACACACAAATATGGGTAACAATTTCTTTTAGAGCTCCTCCAATAAAATCTTGCCAATTTTTATTTCAGCTTGTTTTTATCTTAATTTATATTTGGGGCAAAGACAAACACAACCAGACAGTAAGGAAAATATAGGAAAAATATAAAAAACAAATCCCTTCTCGCTGCAGATTGTCATGGCTTACATAGTCAGCATGAGCTTATTCATGATATAATTGGTTCTACAGTGAACAAAACTTGGACCCTCTTTACATGTGTGTTAACCCTGTTGTGCACTATGTTGAATGAGTAATGCCTGGTGTTTTTAATCATTTCAAAACATTTTTTCAAAGGACCAGGCCTTTTTCTTTCTTTCAACTGACCTCTGAGTGCATCCTTCTCAAGAAAGTACAATTTGCATGCATTGTACTCTTCTATGTCCATTGTTGTTTTCAGCTTCAGTTCTGCCAGGTTCAGTTCCTTCAAGATCTTTTCAGTCACAAAACAATCTCGAACCATCTTATCCAAAAGGCCGCATGAGTAATCTTCCCATAATTCCTCCAAGCTCTTGAGAGATTCGCACTTTACTGTTATTACCAAACTGTTGACAGAAACATCTAATATGAGGGCCTTCATTGGTAACCAGTCAACTCGCCGACGGACCAACTCGCCGACGCCAACTCGCCGACGTATAAAATCGAGTAGAGACGTCGGCGAGTTGGTCGTCAATCTAATACAACTCATTAGAAGTTAAACATACAGAAAATTAAACGATATTTAGTAAAAAAAACACAGGTGAACATTGGTGAACATCTAACAAGCTTAAACATTGATGAACATTGATGAACATCACCAATGACTATAACAGCTTAAGACGAGAACGAGTTATTGTGCGACAACAACACCGTAAAGACTCATCATGTCAATCGCTCAGATTTTTTAACGAAAACTTGGCTTTCTAGACAAGATCTTTAGTAAAAAGCATTTCTTTTTATTTGCAACAAAGTTTATAAGGATCTCAAGGCGAATAAAGGGAAGTAAACATCACCAATGACTCAAACAGCTTCAAACGCGAACGAGTTATTGTGTGACAACAACACTGTAAAGACTCATCATGACAATCGGTCAGATTTTTTAAGAAAACTTGGCTTTCTAGATAAGATCTTTTGTAAAAAGCAATTCTTTTTTATTTGCAACAAAGTTTATAAGGATCTCAAGGCGAATAAAGTAAAGTAAACATCACAATGACTCTAACGGCTTCAAACGCGAACGAGTTACTGTGTGACAACAACACTGTAAAGACTCATCATGACAATCGGTCAGATTTTTTCAGAAAACTTGGCTTTCTAGATAAGATCTTTAGTAAAAAGCAATTCTTTTTATTTGCAACAAAGTTTAAAAGGATCTCAAGGCGAATAAAGTAAAGTAAACATCACAATGACTCTAACAGCTTGAAACGAGAACGAGTTATTGTGTGACAACAGCACTGTAAAGACTCACCATGACAATCGGTCAGATTTTTTCAGAAAACTTGGCTTTCTAGATAAGATCTTTAGTAAAAAGCAATTCTTTTTATTTGTAACAAAGTTTATAAGGATCTCAAGGCGAATAAAGTAAAGTAAACATCGCCAATGACTACATCCGCTTCAGACGCGAACGAGTGATTGTGTGACAACAACACCGTAAAGACTCATCATGTTAATCGCTCAGATTTTTTAACGAAAACTTGGCTTTCTAGACAAGATCTTTAGTAAAAAGCAATTCTTTTTATTTGTAACAAAGTTTATAAGGATCTCAAGGCGAATAAAGTAAAGTAAACATCGCCAATGACTACATCCGCTTCAGACGCGAACGAGTGATTGTGTGACAACAACACCGTAAAGACTCATCATGTTAATCGCTCAGATTTTTTAACGAAAACTTGGCTTTCTAGACAAGATCTTTAGTAAAAAGCAATTCTTTTTATTTGCAACAAAGTTTATAAGGATCTCAAGGCGAATAAAGCGACGTTAACATCGCCAATGAACAAAATTGGCTGTAGACGCCAATGAGTTGTGTGAGTCATTGGTGATGTTTACTTCGCTTTATTCGCCTTGAGATCCTTATAAACTTTGTTGAAATAAAAAGATGATGTTCACCAATGTTCACCGATGTTTAAGCTTCTGTTAGATGTTCACCAATGTTCACCTGTGTTTTTTTACTAAATATCGTTTAATTTTCTGTATGTTTAACTTCTAATAAGTTGTATTGGATTGACGACCAACTCGCCGACGTCTCTACTCGATTTTATACGTCGGCGAGTTGGCGTCGGCGAGTTGGTCCGTCGGCGAGTTGACCGTAATTCCCTTCATTTTATCTAAGTATTCCTCAAAGTCATTGCGTTCATCCTTGTTCTGAGGTGGTGTAGTATTAAGGTAATTTATAGCAATTAAGGCAAGGGCTTTCTTTTGGAGTACTTCTAGATCTTCTAAATCTGTATCAGATTGTCTTTTGCTCTTTGTGCCTGAAGCTGTGGATGCCTTCTGATATCCTGCTGGCTCTAGAGCTGAAACTGAAGCTGTACTATAAGCACCATGATCTGCAAGTTTGATATGTTCCACACCAACTTTGATGTTTAATTTTTGATCTGTTGATTTAGAGCAAAGTGTCTAAGTTAAAATTGTACTTCAGGTCCATTAATATCAAATTAAACTTTAAATCATCCAAACAAACATATTGGATGACAGTCTGCTTGCAGGTCCTTGTTACTAGAGGGCTGCTACACCACTTTTCCTTTGATTAAAACTTCTACATCCTTAATGCAAGATAACAAAACTTACCAAATGCAAGACTGTACATCTTTTCAACAAGGGAATTACAGGGCTTCTCCCAGCTGAACTGCTGCAAATAGTTTTCACGAAGAATCCTAGCCTCTGCAAGTCGTACATTCCTTTCTTTGTAACGCACAGCCTTGATTGCTCTGGCCCATTCAGCAGGATCCTCTGAATCCACTATACACTGTGACCCATTAGGCACCTTCCTTAAGGCTTCTGCAATTCCTGAGTTACCACTGACAAGTACTGGAAGACCAGCGGATATGGCTTCAAGAGCGCTTAACCCGAATCCCTCAGCTTTTGAGGGTAATATAGCAATATCCACTGTAGAGAATAAGTTGGCTAATGTTTCCTTGTTTTCATCAAAGCTGCAGATAATTAGCTGATTACGACCAATACCACACTGAAGTAACTTGTTTGCTAATTCATCTTCTTTTCCTCTCTGTTTGGAAGCAAACTTGAGTTGGTAAGATTTATCCTTTAGCTCAGCAATAGCTTTTGCTGCAGTATCGTACCCTTTAACATAAAAATCTTCACTATCACCACTCTCAGTAACCAAGACACAAAATGTTCTTTCTTCATCACTTGCTTGCTGGACATCTGAAAATTCAGAGAGAATGCTTGGTGTCAGGTTAAAAACATCTGGTTTTCTGAGTTGGCGCTTATATGCATCAGTTAGCTTGGGGCCAATTGTCACAACTTGATCAGCCATTTTACATAGTTCTATTTCTGTTTGCTGCATTTGTTGACCTTCAGAAATGCTTTTGTACATGCCAATTTCTTCAGGGACAGTATGGACAACTTGAATCCATCTGCAATTACTGTAATTTGGATTTCTCTTTATGAGTGGAATTTGCTGACCAAGATCTACTCCATGCCCTAGAACACAATCCATAGCATGGCCATCAGGTACAGAGGCTAACCAAAGAACTGGTTTTAAACCAGGCAGTTTCACTGCTTCAATGAGTTTAACATTGTAACCATCAGCATCTTTCTTGTCCTCTTCACTACACCAAGGTAAGAAGACACTGACTTCCACATTAGGATGTTTAGCCATCTGTATTGCTAGCTCTCTGTTGATGGTTGTCAAGTCTCCATTGCTTGAAGCTTTCCATCCAACACTCAAAAGGGTTACTCTCAGTTTTCTTTCCTCAGTGTCGTTCTGTAAACACAAGATTTTTGTGATTTAGGAAATTCAATTAGAGTTATAGAAATAATAAAAAAAACTCATTTTAAGAATTATTTTACTTTTGAAAGACACTTCTTAATTTTCAATTCATTTAGTAACTTCACAAAGTCAATAAACTTATAAGCAAAAGTTGTACAAAATTTCCGTGAGACAGTAAAGAGGAATTGTAGATGAATTTTCAATTCATTTAGTAACTTCACAAAGTCGATAAACTTTTTGACAAAAGTTGTACAAAATTTCCATGAAACAGTAAAGAACAATTGTTGTGGATATCAGGGTTAGTGTGATACAACTGTATAATCTCATTAACTCTAAGAAGTGACCTGCATCTGTAACTTTTTGATACCATGCAAAAAGTGTCATACACAAGTTTTTCCTCTACAGTTATTCAGAGTTTGGTTTTGCATGACATGGCAAACTTTAAATCATCCAACCCTAACCAACTTGTATGATCACTTACCATCTAAAAAAATGTGAAACATGAGACCTAGAACATATTTTTCATCAGCTTCAATCATCCCAAAGTAAAAATGTTCTACAATCATCAATGTGGACTCTTAATCTTAAACTGATGTGGACTTATTTTACTCTCCCATAAATTTTTTTCCCATATTGATCTCTTGCTTGGTAAATACCACTAATATATTATTATCAAATTTTGTATCTGCAGGCATGTAATTTGCTCCTGAGGGGACACCAGATTGAACAAAGCAACTTGGTAGTAGCTGTGATTTTCAAAAGCAGTTGTTTGATATCTTACCTTTAATTGTCCTGACATCACAAGAACCTTAAATGTTGAATAGGAAGTTGCTAAAATGAAAATAAAAATGATGAATTACTTTCATTACTTATTCACAAAAAATGTCTTAAATTACTAACTGTAGACAACCGTATTAGATGACAACTGAAAATTACTGTTGCTAGCATATCACAGAGTAATCATGTTGCCTTTTTGATCAAGTTTCAAATTTCTTCCTTCTGATAAGCAAAGAGAAATTAAGTTTTCAGATAACAATGCAGAGGAGAGGTACATGTATCTCAGTGCCAAAAAGAGGTTACTTTAAAAGTGCTAAAAATTTGACGAATTGTTTAGCGATTACATGCAGGGTTTGAATAAATTATTCTACATGCCATTCTTGTAAATTAGAATTATTAAAAGTTGTCACATAGTTTTGTCATGTATATTAGTTATTATTATAAAGTTCGGATATAACACATGCTGTCATTGGTTGAAAGAGCATGCTCTATGCGAGTAGAGCATAGAGCTGAGCTAAAGCTGTCACACCATCTGCCAAATTGGTGACATATGTTCAACCTTTTCCAAGACTTCTTTCTAACTTTTTTTTTGATAATTGAAAGTGAAATTTCGGAACAAGCAAGCTGGCAAGAAGCAACAGAAGAACCAAACAAAGATTTGTAAACATATCAGGTGCCATAATTTATGTTAATAAAATGTGAGCAGAGGTGAAAATCCTGATATCCTTTCCAATGCATTGAGTGGAAAGCCACATCAGTCACTGCACCTGAGTTTTGCAGCACTGTCATCCTGAGTGATCTTCATGTTCAGATGAATTTTAAGATTCTGTATTAGAGACTTACAGACTTTCTGTATTAGAAACTTCAGGCAAAAGTGTTAAATTCAACCAGCCGAACTATTTAAGTTTGTGAACTATCCCAGAATGTGAACTTTGGTGGTTTTAGAACTTTGATGGTTTGACATTTTTGATAGCTTTATTCTTGTACAGCCAATCAGATTATTTGAACCATTCTAACAGGGATTCTAATTGGCTTATCGTAGCGTGCTTTATGAGAGTATAGAGCATGCTGACATCACTGTTGTTCGCTTTGAAAATAAAGTTTGTTTTGGAAAATTGAAAGTGATGCTTGGGGAATTACCGGATTCTTAGGAAGCGGCTAGAGCACTCAAGAAGTGTAGGGAGGAACACGAGACGCAGTGCAGAGACGCTCTAGCCGCTTGCTGCGTGCTTTACAACAGAACATAGCACAGTCAAGGCTTCTCTATTTGTTAATCAATATGTAATCCCAAGATGTTTGTCATAAAATCTGGAATAAATAGGCACTCCTAAAATTTGTCAGACCACAAATTGCATAGGCCTTACTTCAGAATTTTTTGCGAGGGACATCCGCGAAGACCTCATAGCCTTAAAGATCAAGACAATGTTACACGATTTGTATTTATGATTCAGTCTACTGTTCGTCTCAGAAAAGTCGTTTGAAAATAGAGGTGATGAGTCGCTCTCAGGTATTTACCAAAATTTTCCATTTTAGTAAGAATTCTAGGCATCATGCATTAAAAGCTAACTTGAATTGGCTTACCAAGACTTCATTAGTATGCTACTGGGAGCGAAGGTCCTGTATCTTTTCCCTTCCGTGTCAGTTTGAAGCTGCAGTTCGCTGACGATCTGGAATCACTTCACAGGAGCTGAAACCATTACTTATAGCTAGAAAAATTAACTGGTAAAACACCTCGCTAAACATTAGTATTAGTAGTATTTCAGGTCGATTTCCGCCTTCCCCTATCACTTTCGGTTTAATGAATTATTTTAATTGGTTCATTTACTATCACGTGACAGAATTTGGCGGGGCGGGGAGAAAATCCTTCTCCTATGCTGTTATAAGATATGACTATTACACCACACTTTTGATTATGACAATAGCGAAAGTACGTCGCAGCTGGTTGAATGCAGGCTCGTTCATTACGGGGTGTAAGGAATATCTGAGTTAGGAAGGAAATTTGAAGATGGATGTTGGTATGTTCCAAGGGAGAAAAATTCTCGTGACTGGAGGAGGAGGATATTTTAGCCACAAGCTGGGGAATGAGCTGAAGAAGATGGGAGCCGTGGTTGTATTAAATGACATCTCGCGGCCGCAGGATGAAGTTGTGAACGAGTAAATGGAGGCTGTCCTCGTGGAGGCTGTCCTCGTGTACCGGTACACGAGGGAATTCCTATTGTTTTCATAACCATACATGGAGTTATGACGCAGTTCGTTAATGTTTCCTTCTTTTGTGTACCGGTACACGAGGATACAACCAAATGGAGTGTTAACAGGTAGAGACTTGATCGGTAAATTACGTAATTTACTTTGGATTATTTTACCAAAACAACTCCATTCGGATCTTGCCTTTGTTCTATGCACATACGAAAATATTAAATTTTACCAAAGGGAAAATACATGGAAGTTATTTCAATTTGCTGTGTCAGACACCAGGCAGCCGGCAGGAAGTGATTTCTAAAGATTATAGAATTCTCTCATAATTTCTACTTCACCTTGCGAAGGATAATTTGATATCCTGGATAAAAGTGAAATTTTTTTTCTTTTAATCTTATGATAATGTTAAGTATCATTTTATGTCATGAGATTCATATGTGTGTTTTCGGGGGATAATTATAACAAGTATATAAGATTTTAGAAAGATTATGAGTCATCAGATTGATGTGGTTTTTCATAGTGCATCGTATGGAATGTCTGGAAGAGAGCAGGTTAATATGTTGTACTTATTGAGTAAATGGTAGGGCCAGAATAAAATATATTTAACTCCAGGTTGTGGATTCATAGAGTGCTCTGACTCTGCGCTTGTTCCAAATTTCATGACTGAGAATGTTTAACTGAATAAATGTTTCCCATTCTGGCCCAACTTAACTCAGTAAAGACTGTTTTTTTTAGACTGAAATCCTATCCAATTGATGTACCAATAATGCTTTTTGCTTTTTGCTCCTGAAACTGGAATAAGTGGTCACATGATGGTTCGTGTAGCCTTAAATGCATTTTAATTGCAAAATTAGTTAAGTGTATTACCGCCTTGGAATCTGTGCACATGTTATTTGTAATCAAGCAAGCAAGCAATAAGTTATTTCTAGCTTCTGAAAAAGTTTTAGTTTCCCTCCCATCCACACCACTGACAATTTTGATTGTTTCTTTATTTTACTCGTGTTTGTAATTTATTCCTGATTACTAGACTGTTGTTTTAGTGTATTCATCAAATATCTCTTAAGTAATAGTTTAGTGTGTTATTTACATAGAATATACATTTAGTGAACAACCTGGTCCCAAAACAAACCTCTGTCTGTTGTGGTGTTTAATTGTTTAGTAAAAGCTGATTTTGTATTTTGATGTCTTGTTCAATCCCCAGTAGAGGACTGTTGTCTGTGGAAGTAAATGAATAAGATACTTTTTTTTTTCACAACCTGAGTGGAAGTTATACTCTGATCATTTGCCTCTGATGATCAATTCCACTCAGATTGTCCAGGCACCATGCAGTCAGTTCACTGAAAACTATCCTCCTCAGGGGTAGACAAACCCAAATTAACAGATTGCACAATGGACTAATTGAGTATTTTGTTTTGTCAACAATATTCTGGAAGAGATTATTATTTACAATTTTTTTGTCATAATGTTATAGTTTTTGGTATTGATGCTTTTGGAATCTTCATTGTGAGCAAAGCTGTGTATAAGAAATATTTTAAGGTGGGATTATTTTTTTTTTCAATTAACTAGAGACAACATTTTTTATCTAGAACTATGATTTTACCTTAAGTATTAGATACCAGAGGTGTTTACATCCTTCATTGATGAATAAGCATTTTCACTCAATAGAAACACAGTAGACTTCGAAATAACACTAGTTAATTAAGCCTGGATCAATCTGCTAGGATTTTCAGATTTTATCCAGTTTGGATCTGGATCATTGTTTACCTATTTTGGTAGATGGGTAAACAGTGATTGGTTGACTTTGATGGCAGCAGTTAGCCAGTGTTTGTTAAAGTAAGCAAGAAATGGATAGACTTAATGAACTGTGATACTGTATTACTTTTAAACTCAGAAAATTGTGTGTAAACACCAGAAATATTTATGGAATATATTTTAGTGTGTCACAGAAATCCTAATGAGTTGTCAGAAAACCAAAATTAAAATTTAAAAAACAATTATGGTCATTAGTTTTTGATTTTGAG